AGTTGATTTCATCATGAGGTTTCCGTTTCAAAAATTTATCCATGGGCGACTATTTTGTATGACTTTTATGCTTTTCTTTTGTGAATTTGCTTAATAAATACAGGATGAATAAGCAATATCGCTATGTTTGGAAAAAAATTATCTGACAACCCTATATTTACAAATTATTTTAAAGCTGATTTTACTTATAAATGACCATGTATAGAATAGTGGTATCATACACTTCATGCACATATCCTCCTTAATTAAATTGATTCTAAAATATCTGAAGTTTACAACAAACTCAAAATGTAACAATTCTAAAAAAAAGCCTATCTGGTTTCGACTGCGCGTGTATTGCTAAAAAGAAATCGAAATACTGTATTGACTCTTTTAGTGGCTGTAGACAACATGGAACGCTTACTGTTAATTTCTATGAAAACAATATACTAATAAAAAATTCAGAGCTTACTTGCTTACTTGCACTTTTACTCGCAAAATGTCTCCCGTTTGAAGATTTACACACGTGACGCCTAACAGCCAATGAGAAATCGCAAAATAGATCCAAAATTCAAATCCTTTGGTTCCTTCTCTGCATGAATAAAATCCATTATCTTTATCAATTCAAGATATAAATTATATTAGTATATCAAATCTATGAAATAGTTTATTGAATCAATTTATTTTATGATCGGCCTATAAGTTACTTATAAGCGCTTATAAGTTGCACGTCACCCATAAAAAAGTGTTTGCTGTCCACGGACCCCCTATCTTGTCCTTGCGGACCCCCTGTGGTCCGCGGACATCAGTTTGAAAACCCCTGCTCTAATCAACTATGAATTGGTTAAGCATCTCCCCTTGCAGAGTTTTCTCTCACATAAGCAATATGGCTTTCGCTTCTCTAGGTCAGATGCTGATGTGTTAACGATTATTACTGAAAGAGTATGTCAAGCCTTTGATAAGAATGGTAACGCTCGAAGGTATTTGACAGGGGTTGGCATGCTGGTCTGGTATTTCTGGACAAATTTTTGATCTGATTCAATCTTTCTTATCGAATCTTCAAGTTGTCTTGAACGGACACTCTTCTAGAGCTTTTTACCTTAATGCAGGTGTCCTCCTGGGCTTTATTCTGGGACCTATTTTGTTCCTAATCTTCATTAACGATCCTTCTGTCATCAGTTCCAACGATATCTATGCTGATAACGCAACGATTTACTCCTGTCTTAAAGTTTGATTGGTTCTATAAGGTCAAATTGGCAGCTGATCTAAAAAATGACCCACATTTTGTTGTTAATTGGAGCAAGAAATAGCTTGTTAATTTTAACGCATCTAAAACAAAACTGCTGTCTTTTTAATCATCTGAGAGAACCCATTTTGCTTTCCATTAGCATGGCTGATATTAACCTCCAGTAGAGTGACTCATTGCGCATTCTCGGGCTAATATTTTCCGTTGACATGAAATGGAAACAATATATTGAATCAATTGTTAGTTCTGATTCTAGGATTATTGGTTCATTGTGTGGTGCTACACAATCTTGCCCGCCAGAATTTATCTTATACGTTTATATGTCTACCATTCGTCCATGCATTAAATATTGTTGTCATTTATGGTCTGCTATGAATTTAGAGATTCTTGATAAAAGAATCTGTAATGTTATTGGTCCTGACGAAGCATCTCGGCTTCGGTCACTTTTCCACTGCTGTAATGTAGCTTCCCTCTGCCTTTTCTATAAATATTTTCATGAAAATTGTTCTGATGAGTATCCTTTGGTACCTAGATTTTATGAATTTAAACGCAGTCCTAGATTGGTGATAAGGTCTCATTATTTTATAGTTGGAATGCTTTCATGTAACTGTATGTTCTATGCTAACAATTTATTCTCTAATTATCAACCAATATAAATTCAATGTAAGAAAACAAACAGTCGGATAAATAAATTGCAGCACCCTTTTTCTATTTACTTAAGATTCAACATACAGTTAATATGGATGGATTCCATTAAATGATCGCATATACATATATTGATATATGTGAGTAAAAATAAAAATAAACGGTGTATCAACAGTAAACAAATCCCATATTAATACATTGTCTATTTAGCATTGGGCGTTAACGCAGGTTTGTATATATCTCTCACGAATACTATCGTACACATGGTGAATAACATCCTGCGATATATTATTTCACGTCTTTAACACATGTTAACGAAATACAGTCAGAGTTGCAGAGTAGATTAACTTAGCGAGTCAAACATCATCCCATTATATCTCAGATATTGCATTAAAGACATGTTCAGCTACTGTCTCTATTGTAGACGGGCATGATAGTGTTGTGGCATAAGTGAAATTTTAGTTACAAGCATGAACGTGCTCATAAGCATATTTTAAGTAAACTTAACTGCCTGTGTTGACACGCCTTAATCTACGTTTGATTTGGTCTATGGACCCCGAGTAGTCTGCCACTAAAACCTTTCTAGAGCATCGATCTTGGTGAACGTCTGTGCTAGTTAAAACATGCATACCGTCGCACAAACAGCCATTGCACTGATATGAGTGCCACTAAGTCAAGATATGGTTAATGACTTTGTAAATGTTATCTAAATATTTACTACGCCCTAACATACACATACCACAGTTTCAAATTGGTATTGTCCGTTAAGGTGTCGCACTATTATTATCCGTCAGTGTATATTTATAATATATAATCCTAACCTTATTCTTAATTCTGACTCTAAACCTAAACTAAACACACGCATCTCAAACAGATAGTGCACTGGCATGAGTGTTACTCAAAATGTGGTCAATGACTTTGTAATTGTTACCCACCCTAACATGCACATAGTGTCGCCAGTAGAAAATCAACATTGTCCTTGACAAGGTGCTACAATATTATGTGCCGTCAGTGAAGATGAAATATATATATAATATGTAACCCTAATCATAACCCACACCCTAACATTATACCTAAATGTAAACCTTAAATATAACCTTAACACTGCCTAGAATTATAATATATTATCATGACTATTATCCCCAACATTGCCGATAAATATAATATTTAAATCTAAACATAACACCAACCCTAACAATAAATCTAATAAAACACTGCCGCGCAATATGTACATCTAATCCCCAAAATAACCCTAAGACTTACCATACAGTAACCTACCTCTATCCGTAAACCTTACTCTAAACTTCACACACTCAGACTAAATGTTAAGCTTAAAATAAAAATTTAACCCTAAAAGTCACAATAGAATTAAATGTAAACCTAACTATAACTGTAAATATAACAAAAGACCTAATCAAAACAAAACTTAACCATAACTCTAGCCGTAATCCTAAACCTAACTATAATTCTAACGCTAAACTCAATCTGAATCATAGCATCCAAATAATCCTGCAATAGCACTAAATATAAACCTTACATTAACCCTAAGCATAAACATAGCAATAATTCTAAAAGAAAACCTAAATGTAACCCTGACTAGCACTTATAAACATATCCTTAAAAGTAACACTAAGCCTAACCTTAGCCCTAAACATAACACAAGCATTAACCTTAAACTTAGCCCATAATTAAACCTAATAAACTCGACTGAAGATGTAGACACGGCTGGAGAGTCTGCGCTAAGAAATTTAGAATGCAGCAAAAAAAAAAAAAAAAAATATCTGCAGAAAGCCGGACAAACATCGATTCAATGGTTGAATTGTTAATGTCTTTTATATAGCAGAAAAGAATAGTATAGAAAAGAAACGGGTTACAGAAAAGAAAAATAAAAAAAAAAACAAAAACCATTCATACACTGGATTCTAGACAGAGAGAGAGAGTGTGTGTGATTATCTTGTTAAATCGTCTCAGAACGATATATGACTCTTGCGATGGAGGAATAAAGATTTCTGTGCGGGGCTTAAAGTTATAGTGGCGTTCCTCCTCTCCCTTCTTGAATCTCTCTTACTCTCGGGGTTTAAACTCTACCAACCGAAATATACGTCTAATATAAACCCTAAAACTAAAAGCATCCGCAAATTATTCGACCAATTCTCTCTTTCTTCTCTTCAAGAATTTTCTCCAGTCTGCTTTTTTTCAGCATAACTACGCGTTTATATAGATAAAACCCGGCTGATTATAACTGACCCTCAGCCCTACTACTTCGCACGCGATTATCACGGGGTTCTGGCTGCTTCAACCAAAAATCATGTGAATTCCAAAGTTCCTTCTAGCTTACTCAGCTCTATTTCAATTTTTAATCAATAAAATTATTTCGACCATTTCCATTGTCTTTTCTGATGACCCAGATTCAATGGGTACAACTTCTGCCCTAGATCAGATTTCCCCACCAGTAAACAAAATGCTCTGATTTAATTTCGCTATTCAAATCTATTCCAATTTCACTAAAAAAAAAAAATACGTGTGTGTATGTGTGTGTTTCCCTCTCTCTCTCTCTCTGTCACATTTCCTCCCCTACCCATCTGTCATTTACTAGTAAATGACACACTGTCAGCTTTCATATCAACAAAATATGAAAAACCCAGTCCAACATGCTTCTTACTAGGGGGCTACTTAAACATACGTCTCTTCCAGCATATAAAGGTAGAGTCCTCAGTTCTTCTTATGGCTCATTATTTCCATTTACATTTTCATTGTCCTTACGATACATATGTACATGCAACTTCCGGTTAAAGTTCACTGTTTTGGTGATCTCGTGCAATAGAACCTTTTCACATAGTTCACTAGTTCGAGGGTTCTTTCCTTTATTTTTTTTTTTTTTTTTGAAGTTCGAAACACTCCTTACCAATTATTTCAGTCTCATTACTAAAAATAAAAAAAATCGATTTATTTCGTAAATCTGTCCCTCCGATTTTGTCTCGCCTTCACAACAGGCTTTGTCGAATCTTTTGTTGGTTCAGGTCCTTCCACGACAATCGTGGACTCTTCTTCAATATCAGTTAGGGGTCCCAATGCACTCAGGTCGGACCTACCTTGGTAAAGTGCACTAACTGGAATCCCTCCTTCACTCATGCACTCCCGTGCCAGTTTATTCTGCCCAGTCGACAACACCGCACGCCTCTTCAACCACCACCAAACCAGCAAGGCCACGACTATCATTAGTATAATTCCCACAACGGTCGGCCAGGTTATTATAGCAACCAAATTCTCTCTCCAGCCTGAATTCGGCGTACCTATCCTATCTAACTCCGACTTCAACCGTCCAAGATCAATCTTATCGATTGGCTTTAACAACGCCGGCATCTTTTCTAGCGACATCTTAGGAATCTCTCTTACAATGGGTTCCCACAATCCTGTCCATCCACTGGTATTTGTTCCTACCAGCTCTAACAAAACCTCATTCTCTTCAAACTTCTCTTCTGCTTGGTAGTAGGGAGGTAAAACGATAGATGGACCATGAGCTCCACAACTAATGGGTAGCTCTAAAAAAACAAAGGAGGAATAACTCTTATTGTAGTGGTGGGCTTCCCTTCACACACCTTAGATAATTTGATCTCTTCTTGTGTGGCCACCGCCCAAAGGTAACATTACACTAGCCAACACCTTTACCTGACAATGATCTCTAATTCCCTTCTTATTTTTCTTAAATAAATCTAGTACACACAGATTATGACTACCTGTCACGTAAATTGGACTTACAGACCCACAGATACCTAAGGCATCATTCTTGCATTTTTTCTGCTTCTCCCTTTGTTAATAGCATAAACTCTGTCCTGGCTAGGTTTAGGGCAACAAATTCCGTCTCTACCTTGTACCTAGCCACCGCTCCTATCTTCGGCCTTAGTTTTGGATAGGGAAGGGGAAGATTCATCACCTGATAAATTTCAAAGGTACTATCTCTGTCCAGTAATGGAACCGACACTAGCACTAGCAATTTATCATCTTCCAACAAGGTAGTACATCCCAAGGCACTATAATACCTCCATAACTGCTGGGTGGGGTCTACAGGTAATCTAAGATGATGGGGTAGTTTGGCTTGTATCTCCAGTAGTACTTCCCTTAATCGTTCTGGGGTTATTATACTCGGAGACAGGTGTCCCAGCGACAGCATGTCTAATTGTGCTCTCACATGCTCTAACAGCACCGTTAAAAAGTGAGTTGTTTTACGTACCTTACTCATTATAGCTAATAATTGAAAATACCTTTGCAAAACCCCCTCTAATTTCTATAATTCGGTTGTTACAGACGTGGTTACATTTATCACTTCTTTTCTAAAAACCTGTAGGTGAGAAATCAACCAATTATACTCCCTCTATTCTTAGCCCATTCCAGCCTAGTAACATTGAGTATAGATACGCTCTCTCTAACCGACTGAGCCATTGCTTGTTGTCTCTGTTCTACCACCTTTAATTTCCTCTTAATTACTCTCACTTCGTCTTCGGAGACTGTACCAAACAACACGCTTAATGCCTTTCCCATTATAGGTAATACTGCCCTCTTTTGCCTGGTCCGTAACAACTTTATTCCTTTCAAATAGTAACTCATATCCTTCCATTGTCTCTCAAGTATTAGGGATTCCTGAGCTAAGGGGTATAATATACGGTGGTATTCCGGAGTCTGTAAATATTCTCCAGTGACTTGTGTCCTGGTTGTATCTAGTTTGTCCACTTCGGTCTTTAACTGACCCAGTAACTTCTCATATGGCTGCAGGTCTATCACCAAAGTTATCAACCACTTTGATCTAGTTATAATCACTTCGTCTAGTCTTCTTAAATACAGTATTCTCACTGTGTTCCCAGGTATTAGCTACCACAACTAGCATCGTCAGTACCACGAGCCTCCTCTCGTCCATGTCTGCAAAGAGATGGAGAGAATAATTCGTCTTACTCAATCATTCTCTTATTGTTTTTTATCGGGTGGTTACATCTTAGAGCGATACCTCAAGCACCGACCCACACCACCACCAGCGCCGTGCATGCATGGGGCCCGTCCACACAGTTCACTAGCACCGATGATAAATGCACAGTTAATCCCAGACCGTCACTCATTCACCACAGCCACTGTACTGGTTTCACTTAATCTTTGGGCTCGGGCTGCACCGCCCCCTTAATCGCCGTTTTAGTGGTAATTCCTCATTAACACTAGGTGCTTTTTCAGTCCGCAATTTACTCTGCAATTGAGCTAACGGAATTTCATCCTCTTCTTCCCATTCACTCAGTTCTTCTTCTTCCCTAAGGTTAGGCTCAATCCCTGCTTCTTCAGAATGTCCCGCTGGGGTCCGATTTACCTCCCTCAGCCTTCGAAGGGTAGTTGGGCTAATTTCAATCTCCTCACTCCCTTCACTTTCACTCTCAGTCTCTAACCCTTCAGGTTCTACCAACGTAGATTTCCTCAGCCTTTTCTGTTGAGTTTTTGTTTCAGCTCCTTTCCATTCTCCTATTTCAGCTAGCTTTATATCATTCGCATGCACTCTCTTTACCTGTCCGGTCAATTGGTCCCAGATCACAAAGGAAACCGGACCCGTCTGCTCCACGATCCTATAGTATGGACTCCATCTCTGGTCCAATTTACCTTCTCTCAGGTGTATTTTATAATACACTGGATCACCTATCTGGAAGGAAACTTCTCTATTTTTATTTACCCTATCGTTTCGCCTTTTCTGGGCTCTTTGAATCCTCCTCCTCACCTGCGTAAAAATTTTATGCTGTTGTTCTAAAACTATTTGGTGATGATCCTCTCCTAAATACTTCCTCCTAGGTCATAACAGATTGTCTATAGGTAAGACTACATCCCTGCCATATATCAAGTAATAAGGGGAAAATTTTGTCGTCTCGTTCATCGAGAATCTCACAGCTGCTAACGCTTGGGTTACGAATAAATCCCAATTTTCCCTATTATCCTCTGTTAGTTTAGCTAACACATCAGCGAGGGTCTTATGAAATCTTTCTACCTTAGCGTTACTTTGGGGGTGATATGGAGAGGTGGTTATGTGCTGTATGTTTAATTCTCCCAACGTCTCTCTCATAATCTGATTCACATTCACCGATCCATTATTGGTAACCAAATGTCCGGGGGCACCATACCTAGGGAATATTTCGTTCAGTATTATATCTGACACCGTTCGTGCCTTCTTATCCAGTATGGCAAATGCCTCAGGCCAATCCACAAAACTCACTATGTAAAGATTACCTCTATGTGTTTCTCCATAGGACCCGGAAATATCCATGCTTACTTTCTGAAATGGATAATTCGGAACATCCGTTTCTAATACTGGGGCAACCCTACTCCTTCGACTCTGTACTTGGCATGTTGCACATTTCTTTACATGGTTCACAACATCATTAAACAACTTAGGCCAGTAGTAATTTCTCATTATTAATCCATACGTCTTATCAATTCCCAGGTGTCCTAACCTCCTATGGCACTGGTCTAGAATTTCAGCTCTCAACTTCTCAGGTATCAACATCTTTAAACTTACTTCCTCACCTCTTCCTGAAAGGTAATACAACACTCCATCGTGCACCATATATTTGGAGGTACGCCATGCCTCTACCCTGGACCTGATAGTTGCTATCTCGCTATCCTCTTGGCTTTGCCTAATAATATCTCTCCACTGGGGGTCAGAAACAATCTCCGTTTCACTCATTTCCTGATCTTCCCAACCAAGTCTCTCCTTCAACACCTGTGAATTGATCACATTAATTTGGAATGCTTTATCATCCACACCCGGCTCCAACCTGACAGATTCGGTCTCTAATTGCCTCGGAATCCTCGATAACAGGTCAGCACAGGTATTATCCTTCCCTGCCAAATATTCTATTCTGCAGTTATATCCACTTAACTTCAATGCCCACTGTTGTATCTTCTTATTCGTCCACTCCGCCTCTAACAAATATTTGAGGGGTTTGTGGTCTGTTTTAATGGTAAACACAGCCCCACTCAAATAATAATCTAATTTCTGCACAGCATACAGAATGGCGAACGCCTCTTTTTCTATTACTGGCCACCTTTGCTGAGTCTCGGAGAGCCGATGAGACACACCCGGTACTGGTCCATCCTTATCGGGACATGGTTGTGTAAGAACCGCCCCGATGCACTTATCGCTAGCATCGGTGTACAGCACCATGGGCTTACTCAGGTCTGGGTAGGCCAACAGGGGTACAGCTGTCAGCTGGTCCTTTAGAGCCTCGAATGCACGCTGACAATCCTCGGTCCACTTAAACCTAGCATGCTTCTTAGAGCTATTAGAGGGCCTGCTAGCCGACTAAATGCTGGTATGAACCTCTGATAATATCCGATGGCTCCAATAAATCCCCTAATCTCTCTTACGGTCTTCGGTGCGGACATGGCTCTTATAACCTCTACTTTGTCTAAATCCGTTTTTATTCCTTCTTTGTTTATGATAAACCCTAAGTACTTTGTCTCTTCTTTCATAAACTGACACTTTGATAATTTTAACTTTAATCCATGTTCTCTTAACCTATCGAACACCTTCTGCAGATGTTCAAAATGCTCCTCCGGTGATTTTGAAAACACCATGATGTCATCTAGATACGCCATGGCAAATGCCTCAGTGCCATTCAATACGATGGACATTAACTGACTAAATACACCCGGGGCGTTTGCTAACCCAAACGGCATAACTCTAAAATTGAAGAGACCCATGTGGCAGGTAAAAGCGGTCTTTTCCTGATCCTTTTTGCTAAGTGCTACCTGCCAATATCCCGACCTCAAATCCAAGGTGGAAAAACATTTAGACTCTCCTAAAAGAGCTAGAATATCATCAATCAAGGGGAGGGGCACTGCCAGCGGTTTCATAATGGCATTTAATTGACGAAAATCCACACAAAACCTATGCCCTCCATCCTTCTTTTCAACAATCACTATTGGAAAACTCCAGGGAGATTTGGATCTTTCGATTATCCCTGATTCCATCATTTCATTCACTGCGTCCTCTACTAATTTTCTTTTGTGGATTGGGGTCCTATACGGTCTTAACTTAATAGGTGGGTGATTACCCGTGTCTATCTTCATTTCAACTGTCTCTGTCTGTTCCAGTTCCTTATTCGTAATGGCTATTACCTCCCGATTACTGTTCAGCAACCCCCCCTCAATTTCCTCCTATAACGCTCAGGAGCTGTTATATCTTCATCCCTTATTTCATTGCTACCTGTCTTATTCCCAGGCCTATTCTCATTCCATACTCTCACCTGTTCGACTTCTCTCACTGGGCACGCCTGTGCCAGCTCCTCTCCCTGCTTTATTTTAATAGTTTTATTGGCAGTATTGGTTAACAGTAAGGAACGGTCCCCGACCTCTTCACCAACGAATCACACACGGTTATTTCCCTTCACTATTATCATACCTATCAGTAGGGACCACTTGGTACAGGTCACTGTTCAGCACTCCTTCAGTTATAACCTTGCCCTTCCCAGATACAGTAGTCCTAGAGGGAAACTTTATATCTGTCTGGGCCACCATTGGCAATTGTTCATAATTATCCTCTCCCAAAGTATTCCTACCCTGTCCAATGGTGGGTGGCGGGGTCAAAATGGATCTGTGCCTTATTCTGCCTAAGCCAGTCACTTCCCAAAATTAGCTCACCACACAAGTCAGGTGCCACATAAATCTTAACTTTACCTCTGGTTCTTGCCAACTGGAAAGGTAGCCACGTCATACCCTCGATCCTCATCCTGCTACTATCAGCCTGACTTATTAGTAGATCGACAGGACTAAGCTTCGTTTTCAGTCCCAACTATCAAAAAACCTTGGAGCTAACCAGTGACATTGAAGCTCCAGTATCGACAAAGGCCTTCACCTTCTTGTCTGGGACAGCAACACATTACAGGTGAAGTCTGGCCCTTCCTGCAGCAAACAGTATACCTGTGCTTTTCTCCTTCCTGTATGTTCTCTCCCTTCTCGCTTTCTCGACAACCGGGATGTGAGAGTCGGAGACAGGAGTTCAACTTTTTCTCGGGGCTCCCATTTCTATCTAGGGGCCCTCCTGGATGGGGTAGAGCTCGGATGACTCTCTTTTTCTCGGACTAGCAACCCATTTCTCCCCTCCATTCGAGTTAGGGTTGTTCCGTTCGGTGTGGTCCATCTTTCTCCTGCGAGGACAGGTTCGTCTCAGGTGACCCGCTCCTCCACAGCGCCAACACCTTCGCTCCTTACAACTGGCCGAAAAGTGCCCGACCACACCACATGTCCAGCATCTCAGAGGTCTTACTTGCACTGGGGCCACCCTGCCTCTTACTTTTTCACGGGTGACCCATCGGCGTTTCCCGGACCCTTTTCCTTCTCGGTAGGGGGCACCAGCGTATTAACTCGCTTTATCCCCAGTTTACGGTCTCCCTCTGCCGTACACCACCGAGCCTTGTGCCCGAACTCGCCACAAGTCGTGCAGTTCGGCCCCAAAGACCTTGGGTCGCCTCCATAGTTTGTCGGACAGTCGCGGGCCCGATGCCCACCATACTTGCAAGTCCAACACACCAGCCCATATCGGCCCGGTGTGGGCTTGTGAAACCCATAACGCAGATCCCAGGCTCTCCTATTGGGAACTGCCTCAGCCTTCCAGTCCTCTTCCACGTCTTCTTTCGGGTCCCGTATCTGGATCCGCTCCCGGTCCTTCTTTTTCATCACTACCTTGCCCCCCCCCAGAGGTTCCTACCTACACCCCCTCTTATTCTATCCCAGAGTCGTTCGCTGGTCTGAGCCGCCTCTATGGCTGCGGCCAGGCTGACCGGTCCCCGCTTCAGAACATCGCCCCTCAGGTCCCTGTCACTCAGCGCGTCCACATACACATCGGCCAACAAGGCCTGAATAGGACCACTGTCCCGAGTCGCCAACTCCGGAAAAGCTAACGCCGCTAGCCCCGCGATTCTTTCCCCCAATTCCTCATTAGTCTCTCCTTCTTGTTGCTGTAGCCGGAATAATTTCCTGACTGCCTCAATGGCCGTACGCTCACTTGCGTATTGCCGCACCAGAGCGGATTTAAGCTCGGTCCACGTCAGGGCCGGGTTTTCTTTGTACCACCCCCCTATGAACTTGGACACCTGCCCCGCTGCGGCGTCGTAAGCTAGGAGCACCATTTCTTGGTCCGAGAGGCCATAGATCACCTGCTTCTTCTGAATGGACAGAATCCATTCGTGCAGGTCCGCAGGGTTTCCTTTATAAGTAGGTAGCTTCATGCTACCTATCAGCCTCCTGAAACCCATCGATATTTCGGGGACTCCCACGTCCCCAAGGTCATCTGTGGCGTCTGATCCTGCTACACTCATTCTAGCATCTTGTCACCTACCACTTTCCCACGAGAAGAGAGACCAACAAGAGAATGAAAGGAAAAATACTTAACACAGTGGTGGCGCTTCAACTGCGTACAAAGTCGACAAAGCCAAAACAAGATCAACAATATTACTGGCAGATCTAAGTGCAATGAGCGAACAAAGGAAACCAAAAAGTGACTTACCTGAGGTCCACCACTCTGTGTTTTGTTTCATTTTCCTCCTTCTTTTGCTTCCTTCTCTTTTCCCCCTTATGTCTCATTCAGACCAATATAGTCCAAAGTCCTTTCTGGTCTTACTTGGTCCCGACTGGACAAAATAAATGCAACCTTCTCTCCTCTTTCAGACGGCCGTGGTAATTCCCACGGGTCTATCCTGGTCACAGCCACCAGTCTAACACTTTCGCCCCAGCCCCTCAACCTCCGGCATCTTACTCTCGTGTTTGAGGTGTCTACTCGGTCCTAACCGAACTTATGGGAGTGGCCATAGGTCCCCTGAGCATCCGTAGATTATTCGACCGGTCCGCTGGTTTAATCCTGCTTCCTGCCCACGTTGTGATTTGTTTGATCCAGAAAGCAGAAGTGATGTCCGTCCATTCACGGTCGACTGAAGATGTAGACACGGCTGGGGAGTCTGCGCTAAAATTTAGAAATTTAAAAAAAAAAAAAAAAAAAAATTAATATCTGCAGAAAGCCGGACAAACATCGATTCAATGGTTGAATTGGTAATGTATTTTATATAGCAGAAAAGAATAGTAGAGAAGAGAAACGGGTTACAGAAAAGAAAAGTAAAAAAAAAAAAACTCATACACTGGATTCTAGACAGAGAGAGAGTGTATGTGATTATCTTGTTGTTAAATCGTCTCAGAACGATATATGACTCTTGCGATGGAGGGATAAAGATTTCTGTGCGGGGCTTAAAGTTATAGTGGCGTTCCTCCTCCCAACTCTCGCCCGGCTCTCTCTTCTCTTCAAGAATTTTCTCCCCTGTCTGTCCTTTTTCAGCATAACTACGCGTTTATATAGATAAACCCGGCTGGTTATAACTGACCCTCGGCCCTACTACTTCGCACGCGATTATCACGGGGTTCTGGCTGCTTCAACCAAAATCATGTGAATTCCAAAGTTCCTTCTAGCTTACTCAGCTCTATTTTTTTAATCGATAAAAATTATTTCGACCATTTCATTTGTCTTTTGATGACCCAGATTCAATGTAAACCCTAATACGCACATAATGTATCCTGTTCAAAATCGTCATTGCTCTTCAAGGTGTTACAATTTTTTTTAAGTCTATGTTTTTATATGAATATATATCCCCTAATCAAACAACCCTAATTATACCCAAACTCGAAACCTAAACCACCCCTAGCTCTAATCTTAACCCAGACTAATTCTAACTCGTTTTTGCATTGCTCGTGCGAATCATCTTTGGGGATATGATTTTCACATACTCTTGTAGCAATTCAAGAAAATAAAGAAATTCAAGAAAACCGTGTGCAAGTTTATTAATATCGTTAAGTTTTATCTCGAGTAGAATACACATTACTTTCAAAGTAAAGCATTCAACTGTAAAAACAAAAACATGGGCTAACTTTGAAAACGTAAATTTCCCCTCTTCGTTTCTTTCCCTATTTTTATTGTTTGCCTCTTCATTTTCTCCCTGTTATCTATTTGCTTCATCTTATTGAGGAAGATCAATCTGTCCCATGTCGCTTGCCTCTTTTTTCCGAGTTTCCTTCATTTTCTTCAAAATACTTTTTTCAATATCAGTAGGATGCCTATATTCTTCAAAACTTTGATTGATAATGAATATATATATATATATATAATATATATATATATATATATATATATATATATATATATATATATATATATATATATATATATATGTGTGTGTGGCGCGAACAGAGAGATAGCATTTTAGTACTGCTCAGTTACTGCTCGCAGTGTTTCCACTGAGTTTGCACTAAACGACCCAGGAATTAAATTCGACTTACAATTACTATGTCAACAAATTCAGAAACCAACTCATTAATCCACTTGGCTATAGTCCAGTTGGACAAACCTGAGTCTAAAACTTGGAGCCTTATATTTAAGGGCAACCGTAATACTAACATTAAGTTATCCCCGGCACCTAAGAGAAAGGAAATGATGGTTCCTTAAGCATAGATTCTCAGGCTAATAAGAATTTTTTTAGGCTTACAGATTCTTGGAGTATGTTTCTAACGGGTCGAGCAAAAAGACATTTCAAAACATTTCTGCTGTTTGATAATTTGTTCAGATTTTGGGGTTTGGGTCAAACCGAGAACTTTTCAGCTCTCCCTTTGCCCAGCTTTATTGACATTCATTTTCATTATATATTCCACATATTTTATAAGTATTGGGATGGAATGAAAATAGTGGGCATGAAAACTAAGAACTTCGCTTTTGGCCCGTGAGTCATGCGCGAACGTTTTATCTTTTTATATTGGAAAAATGTGTTGGTTCTTGCCTGAATTTGAAAATCATGGTTTTAAGGAGTACATATCAAAACGTTTATCATGCAAAATTTGTTTAGTCAGGGATAGAATTTATATAGTGAAATATGTGCGAAACTGCATTGACCACTAAAAACCAATTTAAAGTTAATCTTTCCTTTTTGTGTTACTTTCAGAGTATTAAGCACACACGCACACCCAAACACACACACACAAACACGCAAAACACACACGCACGCGCACACACACAAGCAAAGCTGAATTCATTAAACGCATTTAATTTCTTTTCCATTTGAAGTCATTTCAGATATTCATTTCAACTTTTATTCGTTTTTGTTATTGTTGCTTGATGTTTGATTTCTATTCGAACAGAAAAATCTAAACAGATGTTTTGAATTATTTTTATCTGAAACCGGATAATATATTTTTGTTCGTTTTTCAACACGCCTCAATCATACATTATGGATAATATCAAGAGTTTTAAAGTAACTTTAACAAAGGATTTTTTAAGAATTTCTTCAGATACAACCCCAATACCAATATTTACACCGCACATTTATAAAATAAGCACCGATAGTTAAGAGAAATCTTATGTCGCTGAAATGTTTTAAGATTGTGTCCATGAAAGATGAACTTTCGTGTGAGATGTGAGTTCAAATCTCAGGGGAATTTTTCTCTTTCGATTTTGTGCCGTTTGCTCGAGTCGTCAACTCAGAGTTTTGCGAGATAAAGTAGAAATAATAAAACACACTGTAGCTCGTAATGAAAAATGCTTATTCTGATAAATTAAAATGTTCTACTTATAAATTTATTTAATATTAAATATAGTTGAATCAATATTTTAATTTAGAAAAATAATAACTTCGTAAAAGATGAAGTATATGTATGGTTAAAAACTATAAGAAGGTATAAATCTGCGAATATGAATAAGAGCGCATGCGTGTGTGTACGAACAGATGTATGGATAAGGAAGAAAAATAGAGAAAGAATTTGGAGTTAGAATGTTCAGCTTAAATGAGCCAATGGCTGGTCCATATGCAAGAGATAAAAGCAAAATTAAATATGCCGTACTTACCTTTTCCATGCAGTTCGCCCGACATCGAGCAATCAAGAGAATTTCTTCCGGGATTTCAGCCGCATCGTGGGAAATAATTTTGTTCCATGTGAGCACAAGGAAAACTCCAGTCCAGTTAAATGGAAACATCGATACTCAGTTTTCAGAAAGAATACCATTGATCGATGGACCCTTACTTGTGTCCAAGAATAAAGAGGAAAGCATAAAGTGTGAGAAAAGCAATGCGTCAACAAAATAGTCCAGTCCATCTATGCATCTCTGATATTTTATTGGAAAATTTAATTCATGTTTGGTATTTTTGGATGAACTTAAATTTTCTCGTGGATACTTATTTATGACATTAAAATTTACCAAATGTAAAATCATATTGAAATAATAGTTGTTTTTACTTATATTTTTATGGTACGATACAGAATTGCTTTAATATTTTTAATTATTATTTAAAAGCATTTAGATGTTCATTTTTTCTAGTTATCAATTTTATTGCTATAGATACTCATGCAATTGTGACTACACGCAATGAATATATATATATATATATATATATATATATATATATATATATATATATATATATATAATTTCTCATGATAAGTAATGAGTGTTCATAATTTTTTTTTATTTTTTAGTTATATATTTGGAAGAATAACTTATGTTTTGTATAAATCTTGTTCTATTTTAAATCACATATATTAACAAAGTAAATTTGAGATATTAATCACAAAAGTATCCTTGACCCCTTTTAAGGTCACCTGAAATCATTATATTGAATGAAAATCTTGAGATGTCTTTCTTTTCTGACTAGAACTTCTGTTGTGTTTTGTAGACCTTCATACAATGACTCTGATATTATTTCAAACACCATATTTGCATTGAGTTTAACAATTATAGAACTGTCAACACATAATCTAAAAGTAATTCAAAAAGGTAAATTTTGAAATCTAACAATCAGCTACACCTAACTTAGACCAATACATTATTAATAAAAAAGAAAAACAATTTTATGCAATAATTAAAAAGAAAGTCACTTTGTAAATTTTTAATGTAAATTATTTGATGTTATTTTGTGAATTTTTCTTCAAAAATGAAAATCTATTGGATATGATACTTTCCGAAATTTTGTGTTGCTTATTTTAATTTTTGTGTTATGAGTAAAAACTTTCTGCAAGTTTTTCATACTAATCAATTACTCCGATTCATTTACTTGGAATTTTATATTAAAAATTAAGTGTTAAAATAAAGCAGGTGAAGCTAATGTAAGAAAAATGTATCAATATAACAAAAATTAATTTATGAAAAAGTTGCTGTGGGAAGTATTAACTTATTTTTGATAGAAACTCATATTTTTAATTATCGTATCAGGTAAGGAAAATATATAATTTACTTACAAATACTTTCAAAGTTGCAATATCCAAAGAAAATGAAGCAATTATTTTTTTAAATATATCGTGAATTTAATAAGATTATTAAAAATTGTCAAATAAATGAATTGAAGAGAAAAGCAAAATGAATAGAATATAAATCATGATGTCAATATATAAAAAGGAACTTACCTGTTATGTTTTTATGCTTGAAAACAGTCTTCTTAGCTCATAGGTGAGAAGGCTAATCAAAGAGTAATTAAGATTTTGTGTTTTCGGAAGATTATCGCACGTTCTTAGTCAGTAATTTTATGGAAAAAATTAAGTTATATTTTGGACTGGAAATATATATTATAGTCAAATACTACAGATTTGAGCTAAATAACTAAACAGTAATTATTTTATTTTAAAATTTTAATTTTAAGTACTCACTGAAAATATCTTTAGCATGAATATTTACACTGAGTAGTTAGTTTTTGCAAAATTGTATTAAATGTCACAAGTCAGCATATAAAATGTTAAAAGCTTGAAAGAATTGTAAAATGTAGTCAATGATGTACTTCTTTTTCACTCAAATAGAACACAATAAAAAGAAAATTTAAGATGATATGAAAAGAAACGGTATATTTGTTTCTATTCTTAAAAATGATAATTTTATATTCGATTTTTGTATATATCATATTAACCTATTTGAAAATTTACTTCCAAAGTTGTTAGAAAAATTGTTCTTTTCATCCAGAATTCAAATTAGATTAATTTTGTTGCAGTATTGGGCATCCACAGTGTTATGTTTGTGGGAAGTTTTTTTCTTTAAAGATGTCATTAATTCAATACTTTTAAAAAGTCGAAACGTTGCTAAACGGAGATTTATTGTTTTTCATGAAGAAAAGTTGTTGAAAGTTAACTGTTAATGTTTGCATCCTGCACTTAAACTTTAAAACTTTTCAACTGAGTCATCTCAATTTTCAGTGGTCAATCAATAACAACGGAGTGTCCACAAGTTTGTATTGAGTTGAAGACTTAGGGGCTCGACAGTAGAATCTCGTTGTCCATCAACCATGTCTGTCGTCTTTTGCAAGCGAGTTAAAACTACAATTCACTGACAAGCGATGGATAGCTGCATCGACGGCAACGTTAGCAAGAGACAACAGCATCGCTGCGACTCATTTCACATAAAGACAAACTCTTCTTGCCAACACTTGGCTCCGCCTTTCAGTTTTTATATTACTTGTAGCCACACCTATTTTTCTTTTCGAGGGCAGTAGTATCCATTCGTAATTATCCTTTCTCCTCCCTTCTTTCCTTTTCCCAACCCACTTTATTTCAATTTTCTTTACTTTCATTTCTTATCACGGCTGCTCTTTCTCCTAATTTGCTTCTTTGTGTTTATTGAAAAAAATATTCTAAGCTAAGTTTTAATTTTCTCCAACCATCACCGTCACCAGGGTTTCTCACTTCCCCTCATCATTCTCCCTATCTAACCCTAACCCCCTTTCAATGTCCTTTACAATATTCCTAATATTTCCTTTTCTTTATTTTATTTTCTATGCTTTTTCATTTTTGAATCTTTAATTTCCTTCTTCCTTTTCTCTTGAAGATTTATTTCCCTTTATTTTGAAAGCTTTTGGGCGCGCGCACAGGCACTCAAACACACATACACAAACACACGTACACACACAAACACTCACAAACACATACATACAATTCTATCTTTCTCGTTCAACTTTTTCTTCCAGGTGTCGCATGTAAGATCGTGCAATCGATATTTTGCATGACAAGAACGTGTGGAATTTTATTCATCTTGTAAATAAATTCGTAAAGATAAAAGCGTAGTTGCTCATGAGGCAAATCCTTGAATGAACTGTTAACGTCTACGGTCAACATCAAGTTAATTTGAGACATGAGTTTATTTTTTGATTAGATTAATTGTGGTTAACGGACAAGTGTTTGATATGAAGATTTGAACACATGAACATGAACATCTTGCTTTGAATGTGGAAGAAGCATAAGGTATATTAATCCTATTCTTGTACATTCTTCAGTAATAACTTATATTTTAATTTGGATCTAAACAAAACATTTCTTCAAGATTTGACATTCTTTCTAACCAATCTAACATACATACACACACACACACATGCATATGTGTGTGTGTGTGTGTGTGTGTGATTATATTAATTTGTATGTGCATATATATATATATATATCATCATCATCATCATCATCATCATCATCATCATCATCACACAAATCCCCATGGATTGTGAATTGTGCTTTTTCTTGAATTCTCTTGCAGGTTGATGTGATTTGCTTTAATATAGAGTGAATAAATTGCTATATCGTTTATTTCTACCAGTCATTAATGTGGAAAATTATGAAGTTCCTGCATACGTTTTGTTTTTTTTCAAAACAATTTTGAATTTCTCCCAGATTTTAATGTCTTTCAAAGCGGTGAAAATACAAAAAAATCGCATTCTAAATTGCTATTACACTTGTAATCACATAAATCTTCGACATTCCAGCATTACGTTTATTTCATTTTATTTCAATATTTTATTTGTGTCAAATTAATCCTTAATAATTCCAATTAATTCATACATGAGAATGCTGATTTTTGGGAAATCGATGGAAGTGATTACTTTTCAGCACCCCCTCTTTGTCTTGCACACAATTGTACACACACACACACACACATACATATTCAGTGAATATTTGTGTATAAACAGTTTTTTTACGAAAAAAAAAACTCAATGTGAATATGTTAATACAGCACAGGTAAATCCAGATAAAAACCACAAATAACTTCAGTTTGCAACTAAGTCCTCATCGTCCATCATTTGAATTAAGAAACGAGGTTCGTGGTTCATATCTAAGCCTCCACATGAGCATACCATTTATCATGCTTAGATTTAGAGGCCACTTCCGATCTTTTATTCAATAATTTGCTTTGATCAGTGTACACAATAACATTCAATTTCTTTCCCGAGCACGAATTTCATCATTTTAACTCTTCCATAAAATCAACCGCCCTTTTCCCAAATTTCAACCTCATCTCAAGCGTCTGTCCATAATTATCCTTCTGTTAACATTTATAATTCGGCAGTGTTGTATACGAAAACAGTACATGTTTTCGTGTGGCTTCCTCTTAAAAGAGGCCGCATGACGTGAAAAGTATTGCTTCCAAGGTATCTTGGTGGCTGCAATAATATATCAGTCAATATCAGTTCTTTCATTCGCTTTCACATTAGTTTGGTACAAATCATTCCGTGTCAAACAATCACCCTTCAAATTCATAATCTCTTATTATGCCTTCCACAGGAATTAGTTTTAAATCCCTACTATAAGGCAGATTTTTCCTCACTGAGAGAAAATTGATTTTGAAATGCATAAAAGAAAACCTCATGCCTAGAAGAAAAGTTGTTTTTGCAAAAAAGAAATAAACAGTGATATAAATCAATTTTACAATGTTAAGTGTGAAGGAAATATAATCAAATTATAACAGAAGAGAAATTATCGAACAGTTTAAATAAATGTAAATTTAAGTTCTTTTTTCTTAAAATCTTCCTTGTTCAAAAACATCCTTAATATATATCCCATGAAAAAATAAAAATAAATAGACACCGACGATTACTGGTAAAAGAAATATAATTGAAAATTGTTAACACCGTCCCATATGTTCTGATTCAACGACAGGATTTTGCACCCAAAACGGTCTCTAATAAACGGTCGTTAATATTGTCATTTTGACTTCATTTAAAATTCCATGAATATACAAAAAAGCAAAATCCAATTGACTTGAAAGAAAATGTCTTATTTTTTTTACTTTTTACATTCCTTAAATTATTTTATTGATTTATCGCCTTTTTCAATGTAACGCCAGTTACTCATTTGAAGGGAAATGCATTCAAAAAGTCTTACATATTACTGCGTTACGTTAGTAATTTCTACACAAAGAAATACAAAGTGGAAACTATCCCAGTAGAAAGAAGACACTGCCTAATAAAACATTAAAGGATACATAACGCAAGAGGAAGAGAACTTTCTATAAAGAAAGAAAGAAAATCAATTCTTTTAATTTTGTCTTCTGCTCGGCCTATTAATAATGCTCAGTGAATAATCTATTTCTTACGCTGCTGGCCACGGCCTGAATGGTGATTTGGATGACGCGACAGGAGAAAGTCTTGCGAGGCAACCGTCTTTCTCATCAGAATCTAATCCGATACTTTGAGCATGGAGATGGAGATTAGAACTGATAGAAAACGATTGCATTCGACAGTCTTCAGCGAAAGGTGGGTGAAAGAGGCGAGCTTGGTTCGTTTGAACGGGGCTAGCCTTGATTTTCTCTTCTAGGTCAACCTACATCACCTAGGGGTGGTTTCCTGCGAAAACCTTGGTTAGGTTAGACAAGCTTTTGTGTACCTAGTTAATGTGAGTAAGTGTTGTTCCTGGCCTGTTCCCGGCTGCCTCTTTGGTTATGATTCAAGTCGAGATCCCCCCTCCAGTTTGTTTTGGCCCATTTTTATCTTGACTGGGTCAGCTTTTTATTTCTCATGTCCGTATATCTGTCTCCTTTCTCACTTAGCGAGAGAGCCTCTTGATTTTGTCCACTTGGCAGAATACAGCGGCCTCTCATTTTGAGGGTTGGGCGGGTCCTATGTTTAGTTTACTTTGTTTAGTTTGTTTTGGTGTTCATTCCCTCCCCTCACCCATTTTTCATCATAGATTTTTATATATAATTATTTATTATCATTCAATTTTTATGTCACGGGGTGCGTTTTGTATGATCCCCTTGAGAGGATGCAGTATTATGGTGCATGAAGGATTGATTGGTGACGGACGAGTTTTTATGGTGAATGGTCAAATTGTAATGCGTGAATGGGTCGCGAATCGAATTAGCTAGGTATAAGATAGTTAGTGATGACCAGCCTCAACCCCTCCCCATTTTGGCCTTGTATCGTAATTGTGTAATTTCACACTATAAATATCAATAAGCTCTCTAACTACCTTGACCTTTTACCGACCAGTTTTTGCCACGTCATATTTGCGATACTATTACCTGGATTATTTTGTGAACTCCATTTCATTTCTGTTAAGTCTTTTTTGTATTATACTTTTTTCTTACGTTTCAATTTTGAACTGACTGATTTTTGAAAAGTTTTTTGATTTTTTCTTTTTCAATTTCTTACCCTCCCCATTTTTTCTTTTTTTCCTTTTTCTCCTCTCATTCTTCTTCTTATTAGGTTTTTGATTTTCTTTTATTTTAAAATTAATATTTTATATTTTCCGTTTCCTTTTTAATTTTCTGTAATCCCCTGCTAGAGTTTATCGTTTTTTATTTACGTCAGACTTTATTTTTTCTTTGTTTACGTTATTACGTGTTATATCGTTCTTTGTTTTCCCTTTTTAAATATTCGTTAAGTCTTCTGTATTGTAATTGTTAAATCTTTTCTGTACATATTTGTTTTAATTTTCTTGTATTTGTAATTTTTGTCTAATCTGTCCATTTTTCCGTTTTGTTTTTCTTCGTTAACTAGCTGACTTGGTATTTACAGCGGCCATATTTGTTTTTGTGATTTGTTAGTTTCGTATTAGTTCCGTATTTTCTTTGGTTTTCTAGTCCTATTACTGTATTATTTATTGTTGTTTGAATTTCTTCGTGTATTTTTATTCCTTAAGTCCTTTTTTTGTATAATCCTTTTTTAAAGGAAATTTGTGATTGTTTTGTATATTTATTTTTGTCCGCCTTTTTAAAGTTCAACGTTTTATTCTTGTATGTATTTTGCGTAAGGTTTTGTCTTTTGCACGTCTGTCTTATTGTATTTGTTTTAGTGATTTGTTTATCCTTTTATTTCTTTAGTACTTTATTTTTGTAAAAGAAAAAAAATATAAAAAATGCGTTAAGTGTATTAAAAATGGGTCCCAAGGAGAACGTAAAAAAAACTTATTTGGGACTAAGAAAAAAAAAAGACTGAGCCACTCGATCAATCGGAAGAAAATAAAACTTCGGATATTTCTAATGAATCGTCAACAAGTATGGTGGCCGATAAGGGCCAAAATTTCAAGAAAAGTCTTTAGCGGAAAAGAGCCCAAATTCTCCCACTCCTGCTGAAACTATGGAGGCCGAAGCAGGCCAAAGTACCCAAAATAAAGAAAATATTATGGAAACCGAAACAAGACAAGACGCTAATATAAAAAAAAGGTCTGACAACAGACAATTCCAACAAAGATGACAAAGTAGCGGTCGGGGAGACGCACTCTTGCTGGTCGTCCCCACCTAAATGCAATATCAACATCACGGAGTTCCTTGAGAACGCAAAAAGCTACGCTCATCTTGTTACAAAAGATGGGCTCTTGACAAATCTTGAGGAACTACAGAAGGCTGAGAAAAGAATT